TATATATATATATATATATATATATATATCTCAGTTATTTTGTCCAAATGAAACTAGTCTGTCTTTAAAGATTACTTTTCTAAATCTTTTTTCTTCAGGTGTTTAAGAACCTTTAGTTTCACAAAACTCTACAATTCAGGTATTTTTTAATTAATTTATTATTACAGTATATGCAGGGCCACTTGAGCCTGCTGGAGGGCTAAGTGGTCCTTGGTCACCAACGGCTTGGATCGCTGTCAGACTTGTCTCTCCATGCCTGCTCCTCTCTCTGCTCCTCTCCAGCTCTCGTAGCCTCACCTGTGCGGGCTGCGCCTCCTCCTCTTTCAGGCGGTGGCATCATTGAGCATCTTTCTGCAGGCTATTTATTCTGAGAGCGGTTCTTTTGTTTTCGACAGAGTCTGTGGGAGCATTAGAAACAATTCAGACCAAGAAAAAAACACCACTGACTACCAAGATAAATAAATGCATGGCTGATTTTTACCCACAAGCCCTGGTGAGGGTTCATTCTGATGGCTCGTCTTGAGTGCAGCCAGGACCAAAGTGGATTTGAACAACTCCAATCTCAAATCCAACTAAGATAAGTCAGGTCCTCTGGATGGTTTCTTTTTGTTGAAACGTTTCATCTTTTATCCAAAGGACTTCTTCAGTCTGAGGAGATGCAACATACTCAGTCTTATGAATAGCACCTTCACTAGTGGGTCTACCAGTTTGATGGTGCTCAGATGGTTTCTGGAGTCCGCCCTCTCTGACTCGTTTAAGGCAGCCATAGCCAACGTGGTTCAAAACATCAAAGTTCATGCTCAATAATCCAGGTAGAAAATCCAACTAAGTTGGAACCAAAAGCTGCACAATTTATTCCTTAGATTCTCAGGTCCAAAATCCACAACCTCCGTCTTGTGCGAGTTTAAAAGCAGAACATTCAGGCTCATGCAGGTTTTTGTGTCTTTGAGACATGCAGTAGCTGATTGGATTCAACAGCCTCAGAAGTATTTGTGCAGTTAATGTCATGGGATTGTTCCGTTAAAATAGCAACAAATTAAACAATCATACTAAAGTGAAGAAATTTATAAAGTGCAGCATCCTTTCACACTTGAGATTTTTTTTTGAAAAAGTTATGTTTAAGCCTGACACAGGTTCCTATTTGGTAGCCATTAGCCTAGCCTGGAGGAAGACTTCTGCCTTTTTCTTCATACTCCGAGTTGTGACTGAAGTCACCGCTGCTGAGATCCTAACCATTAAAAACTATTACACACACAAAAAAATCACCAGACTCTCACTTTTACCCTCAACTTTTAAAAGATCTGAACTACTCCTTGAATAAATTAGTGTCAAAAAAATGAACTGTGCACTTGGAGGCTCTTGGAAAATATTTACAAGGTCGTTTTATTCAATTACGGTCTTTTTAAACATTGCCTTCCAACTTATTTACAACACAAAGAACGTCTTCATTTCATCATTTAAACCAGAACAGCTCATTTAGAGGTTATACGGACTGATTTAGCTTTTTTTGTGCAGTTTACACAGTAAAACGTGGTCCTGCTCACAACACAATAAGAACAGCGTCTCTCTGTTACTGATCAGACTTCATGCATGCAGAATTATTGCTCGCCAAGTTTTTCAAAGTATATGAAATCTGGGAGAGGAAAAAAAAAACAACAACAAAGCAGCATGATAATGTATTTTATCAATCGGCACCAAGGATTTATTTGAATACTTTGGTGCTGACTAACAACACAGATCGTGTTTTATTTCTTTTCATGAATAAAAATGTGAAAATAATTGGCTATATAGCAGAAAATAAGTCAAACATTCTGGCACTGATTTAAAATACAAACAGCAAAGATTTACTTCTACTATGAAATTATGGAAACAGCTGCAATGTTAAAATTGAACACGAACGTTGACCCTCCCCACACTGTTGGTGTACGTGCACGTTACATGCATGCCATGCACAGGTATTTGCACAAACGCACACAAAACTGCACATTATGCATGTTCCTCCTCTCAGCAGGTGATCTCTTCAATGGTTTGAGAAACAGAAAAGAATAAGACAAGTGAATAATGTACATTTTACAAAATAAATACACAATTAAACATGAAAATTTATTGCTCGTCTACTGTAGATCACAATACACAGTAGACTGATTTAGTAAGCTGCTGCACTTTGAAAGCTGTGGGGGAGGATGACATCTGGAGGGGGTAGTGGGTGGGGGTGTGATGCGTTCACTCCTTGGAGCCGGAGTCGATCCTCTCCTGTCTTCGCTTCATGATCTCCTGCAACTCTGAGTCACCCTGGGACTTCTGGGAAGGAGAGAAAAAAAGTTGCTTTTAATGTTCTGATCTCAAAAACACATTTTAATTAATAATAAATATCAATCTTTTCCCCCCTAATGAATAATTAATTTGATTTATTTGTAGTTACTCTTATTTTTCAAACTTCCTCATGTTATTTTATATTTTCTACATATAAATAAAAATCTTATTTAGAAGCATAAAAGCAGGAAAGTTTCCGCAGCTGCTCGTTCATGTCAGCTGGCCTGCGGTTGCAGCGCTGGTCCTGTAGAGGGCAGCAGAGAGTAGATGCATTTTCACAGAATGAGCTTAAATCATCCAAATCAAAAATTAAAATTCAGCCTCAACTGTCCAGTTATTATAAAAATAGTTGTCATATTGCTGCTTTCTCATTGTGTAAAGCCGTAGAATATCATTAAAGTACTTAAAAAAAAAAGAAAGTTTCATTTACAATAGAATATCATACATGGCTGCCAAAACAAAAAAAGTTTAAACGAGCACTAAGTTATTTATCTGAAATATACAGAGTGAGAATGTTAGAAAAGAAACATAAAGAAGCTTAACACGTAGGCAAATATTTGTGCCTGTTTCTTATGAGACCGTTCTGTATTGATTAGATTAGATTAGATTAAAAAAAATTCAAATCAGTGAAAGAAATCATATAAAAATACAGATTTATGGCAATTTGTTTTGACTTTGCAGTTGTGTTCCTTTTTGATTCTCATACTCTGAACAGAAGCAAAGAGAGACCTGTTTAGGAGCACATTTCCATCTGCTCCTAAACAGGTCTCTCTTGAAAATGAGTTATCGTGACTCAATGAGACTACCTGGATAAATAAATGGTAAATTAAATAAATGGAAAAAAAAACGGTAAAATTACTTTATTTTTACTACAGATGTTTATGTGATGAATTAGTTTAGGGGATAAAGAGTTTTAACCCATGTGCAATAAAAGGTTTTATGGCTCCTCATACTAAAGGTTGTTTAGTTGCATTCATGCTTCTTTTACATCTAAACTAGAGAAATTGCATTTCCTGCGAAAATGCAGCGTGAACGCTTATTGCAGAAGAATTTGCTGAAAAACAGCTGAAATGAGCTAAAAACATGCTGAATTGTAGCTGAAATGAAAAGCAAGCCTAAAGTAGCAGAAGAAAGCAGAAAAAAACACATTAGGTTTAAACAAGTTAGCACAAAATTAAGAAATTAACTAAAAAAGCTGAAATTAACAAAAATAGCTGAAAAGTAGGCAGAAAGAAGCTTAAACTACCAGAAGGAAGTGGAAAGTGCTGAAATGAGTTTTAAAATGATGGAATTAACTGAAAAAGCTGAAATTAACATAAAACAGCTAAATACTAAATAGTAGCTGAAATTGCAGAAATTTGCAGAAAAAAACTGAAACGAGCATAAAAAAATTAATTAGGCTGAAAGAAGTAGAAATTACCATAAAACACTTTAATTAATCTGAAAACAGCTGAAATTAGCTAAAAATGCTAACAAGGTAGCAGAAAATGTAGAATTAGCTGAATTCTCTGAATTTCTGAATTCTTAAATTCTCAAGCCCAGCTCTCTCTCTGACTGCTATAGGATCCATTTCAGACGGTGACATTAACAAGTCCTGTCAAGTTCATGATTTTATGAGACACTCAACCAGTTTTCCATCCTGAACCTGCATCCATTGCAGTGTAACTCCTATAATCTGTCAGCAGATGTCTCATTTCAACATTTACAACTTGTTTTAACTGGCCTGCATAAATTCTGAAAGTTGAGATTTATTTTCCCATGGCATCAAAGAAAAGACTCTCCGACTTCTTTCTGGAGAGCGGCTTTAAACGCAGAAACAGAGAGAAGAGCGTGACCGACCTCTAGCTGAGCTTTCTGCAGGGAGACCTGATTGAAGACACGGCCTCCTTCTTCTCCACACACGGCCTTCAGCTCTTCTTTATTCAGGGAAAACAGCTGCGCTCCCGTCAGGATCCCCAAACATTCAACAGTCCTGCACAACGTACAGTTTGACGGTTCAGTCACATGAAGGTTAAATACAAACATTTGATTTCTCAGAGTTTAACCAGTGCCAGCAGCGAGCACGTTGTTGTTGCCAAAGCAGTGAGAACCTAAACGCATCGTTTTGTAAGACACTGTGACAAGTCGCAGCAGATGGTGTCATCTAAAGCTTGAGTAACATCTGCATTCCCCTGAAGAGTCTGCTCCAGCCTCTGGGTGAAGACTCACTAATAAATCTTTAAACGTTTCAGTCACTGACCCCCCCGAAAATACATCTTTCAAACACAACAAAGGACTCTGCAGTTATCTCTTGGCTGAAGGCTGCAAGAAACATGAGCGTCTTGATACACGACCAGTTCTTTTCCACTGTAAGACAACAGTTTGTGGGTAACGTCACCGTGCGCTCAACTTAAAACAGATCACAGCATCTCTAACACGCAGAGAGGCTGACTGTGGGTTTCCCTCCACGCCGCTACAAGTCGTGCAGCATGCTCAGTCAAACTGCTGCAGCTTGTGCAGAACAGTGTCTGATCCACCAAAAGGAGCGTCTGCATGTGTTGAACAGAACTGGATACCTCTGCACGAAACAGCCTTAGACTGGTCAGGTTCCACAATCATCGGACCTAACAGATGCTGTCAGTCTGGCAAACAGGGACATCCCAGTCCATCTTTAAGAAACTCTCAAATATCAATATTGTAAAGAAAAACAGTAACATTTCAAACGCATCTACCGTAATTTACGATCCTGAACCTCGATTCCACACAATCCAGTAGTTAAACCAGCACTAATCTGACGAACTCACAGCCTCAGAGCCATCAGCAAATAACAGCCTATACTGGGCACACTGTATCATGGACACTGTCCGTCCCTCCAGCCGTCCGTCCATGATCTTCCTCTGTTCTGGAGTCAGGTCGTGGGGCAGCAGCTTGAGCAGGGAGGGCCAGACATCTCTCTCCACAGCACCTCTTCCAGCTCTTCTGGGAGGACTCCATGGTGCTCACACGCCATTTAAGAGACAGTGTCTCCAGTGAGTCCTGAGTCTTCCTCAGGGTCTCCTCCCAGTTTGACATGCCTGGAAAACCTCCCTAGAGAGACGTCTTGGGGTCAGCCTTAACAGATGCCCAGTCCACCTGAACTGGCTCCTCTCGATGTGGAGGAGCAGCGGTTCTACTCCGAGTCTCTCCTGAATAACTGAACTTTTCTGCCTCTCTCTACAGGGAGAGTCCAGCTGGCCTGTGGACAAAACTCTTTTCAGCCGCTTGTACCCGTGATCGCGCAGAAACGTAGACTGACCAGTAAACAGGGAGCTTTGCCTCACAGCTTAGCTTTTTCTTCACCACAACGGACCGGCGCAGAGTCCACAATACTGTGGAAGCTGCTCTAACTCGTCTGTCAATCTCATGCTCCATTCTTCCCTCAGCCATGAATAAAACGCAGAGATACTTGAACTCCTCCAGTTGTGGCAGAACCTCACTCCTGACCCAGAGGGATCAATCCATCGTTTTCTGACTGAGGACCACGGCCTCAGATCTGGAGGTGCTGCCACTCCAGTGACACGGAGGTCGCTCGTTTCTGAAAACGGTAACCAATGAAACGGTTACATACAAAAGTACAGGGGTGTAACATTAACCAGTGATTTCACACCAGTATGCTGTTTTTATGTTTTTGAGAAAAAGTTTCTCTAAAGGCCTAAAAAAAAAAACAACATAAGCCTTGGGTTAGTTAGCTATAGCCACCTAGCGAGGATGAAGACTTCTGCTCTTTACTTCAAACATTGTGCTCCATAACTGATGACACAGCTGATAAGAGACTATTGACAACTACTTGAAGATATGACTCTAAAAACAACCAGGCTATCCTTTAAAGAGCTGCGTGTTGACAAAAGAATGTGTCCACTGAAACAATGAATGCAACTAAACCATCACCAAACACTTTAAAATAAACCACGACTGTGTTTATAACAAATAATTACCAGAAACGGTCACGCAGACACACCTCATGCAGGAATCAGCTGATGTAAGCTAACGACAACAGTAAAAGAACTACATTATTACTGCTCTCTTTGTCGTATTTATTAACAGCATGTACGCCAGTATTTATAGGTCGCAACAAAAGTGCTAACTGTCAGTAAGTTCTGGAGTACACCTGTAAAACACTCAGAGAATTTTTATTACAATAGTTCAGCAAATATGAGGCGCTGAGGGCGTGCCTGCGCAGCGTCGGGAGGTGTTCTGTTCCAGGTGTGGTAAACTTACGGTTTCGAGAAGCCTTTTGCATTGAGCCATGTGGTCACCTGCTCCAGGTTCGAGTCAGAGGTGAGTGGCACCTGAGTGGCAGAGGAGCGCTCGATGCGGATCTTTCTGGGCGGCTGGCTTTTGTTAGCAGTGATTTTGATCAAAAGCTCGTTGTTGACCTCATCCATCACTGCAGAGGACGGAAACAGGCGTAAGGAGTTCTGTTGTAAAACTCATCTGCGTTGTCGCTGTGCACACTCACTTTTGTCTTTTTGTGGGCCCCTGTTGAAACTGTCCCCACGGCTCATGGGCCCAGGGGGAGGTGCCGTGTAACCTTTCTGCACACACACAAACACACACAGGTTCACTTCACAACAGAACAAGCGCAGTGTTGTTCCAAAAACAGGTTTTTCTTTCGCCTCATTCGGGCAAACACATTTTTGTACAGAAGCCAAAAACAAAATATGTGTCTGTCGCACACGCACGGTTGTGGCATGCATTCTTTCTGCTGCAAGCTTCTGGTGCATGCTGGCAGCAAACAGTGCAATGGGAGGGGTAGGAATGTGAGTTCTGCTGTTAGGTTTTACAAAACAAGGAAGGAAGTCGGATCATCTTATCAAACATTTGGGACTGACACGTTCTGGATGACAGAGACTCTGTCAGCGTCGATGATGCAGCTTTTCCTCGGTTTTTTCTTTTTTAAGCCACACTAGACTTTGATGCTGCTTCATTTCAGACTGTAGAGCTTTTGACTCTTCCATATTTGACTGATTTTGTTCTTGGTTACACAACTTTACACAATAGAACAACTTAAGATTACTATATAAATTAGCGCTTTATCACATTTTATCACACTCTTTTCTTATTTTTTTTTTTTAGGTATTAAAATGTGACATTACAGCCTCAGGGCTGTGTGTTGAGCCCCCTCCTGCTCACTCTGCTCACATATGACTGTGCACCTACCCATCCAGGCTGTCATATTTTAAAGTTTGCAGATGATACAGCGGTGGTGGGATGCATCACAAGCAATGATGAGTCCAGCTACAGGCAGGAAGTGGAACACCTGGAGAGCTGGTGCAGGAAGAACAACCTTCACATCAATGTGAAGAAGATGAAGGAGATGGTCGTGGATTTCATATGGAATAAACACACCTACCCCCACCCCCCTTACCCGACCCCCGCACATAGGAGGATCTGTGGTGGAAGTGGTCTCCAGCTACAAGTACTCGGGTGTGCACCTGAATGACAACCTCAGCTGGAGCAACAACACCACCAGCCTGATCAAGAAAGCTCATCAGAGACTCTACTTCCTCAGGCAGCTGAGACGAGCTGGTCTGAGAAGCTCAGTCCTCACCTCCTTCTACAGGTGTGCAGTGGAGAGCATCCTGTGCTCCAGCATCAACGTGTGGCATGGAGGCTGCACAGCTGCAGAAAGAAAAGCTTTGCAGAGAGTGGCGAAGGCTGCACAGAAGTCTGTTGGAGTCAGTCTCCCCACCATCACAGACATCTACACCTCCAGATGCAGGAAGAGAACCACCTGCATCATGAAGGACCACACTCACCCAGCACACACACTTTTTGCCCTGTTCCCCTCAGGCAGGAGGTTGAGGAGCATTAAGTCAGAGAGTCAGTCAGAGTCAGAGTTTCTTTATTGTCATTCGCACCTCATGTGGTACATGTGGTGGAGCGAAATTATGTACACGGGGTCCCAGTTACATCCAACAATAAAATGTCTAAGAAAAACAGTAATAACATCTAAGATATGAACTAAGAAAAACATCAACTAAATATACACTAAGCACTCATAACATAAAACATTGAACATCAGCACAAACATGAACATGAGTATGTGAGCAGATGTGCACGCATGAACACATCAACATTGAAACAGATCAGCAGCAACATGAAACAGATCAGCAGCAACATGATATGGTTTTTCACAGTGATTATTCTGGTTAGAGATTCATGAGTCTAACAGCCTCAGGGTAGAAGCTGTTCCTCAGTCTAGTGATTCTACACTTAATGCTCCTTAACCTCCTTCCTGAGGGGAGTGGGGCAAAAAGTGTGTGCTGGGTGGGTGGGGTCCTTCATGATGCAGGTGGCCCTCTTCCTGCATCTGGAGGTGTAGATGTCTGTGATGGTGGGGAGACTGATTCCAACAGATTTCTGTGCAGCCTTCACCACTCTCTGCAAAGCTTTTCTTTCTGCAGCTGTGCAGCCTCCTTAAGTGTAGAACCACTAGACTGAGGAACAGCTTCTACCCTGAAGCTGTTAGACTCATGAATCTCTAACCAGAAAAATCACTGTAATGCCACTTTGATTGGAAATTTGTCACTTTAAAGTTATGTTTACCTCGGGGGAACAAATGGCCTCTGAGCAGTTATAATAAAGATTTTTAGGCAATAACTTCAGGTGTGACAGCTCTGCTGCCTGTGGATGTGTCGTATACCTGGGTGAAGGGGCCTTCTGGCTCTTCTAACCTCACAACGTCCAGGATGTTAAATGGGACGTAGCCCGTTTGTCCGCTGCGATTCCGTAGTTTCCACCACTGCTTGTCATCCTCTATCACCTGCAAGATGAATAACACCCGTCACTGCACAGCACTGGAAGCTGTGACACAAACCCTGCTCAGCACGCTTCTGTGGATTAAGTCAAATGACTGCACCGCCCACAGTGACCCCATCGTGCTTTAATGACGACGAGGCAAACTTAGATGCGACATTTAACAAGCTGTTTGAAACTACTTTGGTATGAAGAGTATAACGGTTAACAACCTCAAGAATTTCATCCTGCAGCACCGACAGCTCGTTGGCATTCCTCGCCACAAAGTGGTAGCGGATTTTGGCGTATTTGCGACTGTTGGGCGCCGCGTCGTTAGACCTGATGACAAATTGTTTCAGTTTCATATTTTTTAAGGTGCGTGAAAGACAAGAACATGTGTGATTTTACGAATATTTACCCGTTTGATGGAGAATGATTCCCGTAATACTAGAAAACAGAACAGATTTATTTCAAGAGAAAGTTAGAATTTCAGTGTTATGACCCACAGCTAAAACACTTACATCTTCAGCTGAGTGTTTCCTGTAATCGGGGCTGGTGGGGGACCCGAGCGGTCCAGATGGTCCCTCAGTTTCCCATGGGGCTGTCATGAAAAACTCTGCAGGCGGTTCCCAACCGTTCCGAAATCTGGGGTAATACAGAGGAGCGCACTGATCCCTGGGCCACTCTGCTCTGCAAGAGGAGGAGAAGGAGGAGTGAAGTTCACTTTGCACATCAGCAGAAGGCAGCAAGCAGCAGAACGCCACGTTAAAGTGTACCTGGGTTTGGTCCACCCGTCACCGAGCAGCTCAAACATGGTCATCTCTTTGGGGGTGAGGTGCCCCCGCAGGAAGTCAACGGCATCTTTAGAAAGGTGAGGCGCAACGACTGAACGAGCCAGATCAGGACTCCCACAGCTCTGCAGCACCTGAGGACACATTCAAAGCTTTTAGTTACGACTGCTGAGGACAGGGCAGAATCAGTCTAATCTGTGGACGTGTAACATACAGAGACGAATATTTATGACAACTTCATCCAAAAGATCCGATAACTACAGAAAAAAAAGAGCATTTTCTTTGAAAATGTGTGAATTCAATTCAATTCAAAAATACTTTATTAATCCCAAAGGGAAATTTATTGTTGTTGTAGCTCATCTTGGTTTCATTAGAGTTGTTATAGATGCTGATGCTTTGGGCAGGAAGGCTCTCCTGTAGCAGTTTGTCTCACAGCGGATCTGACGAAACACTTCAGATGCCGATCCGTCCACCCAGACCCAGCAGAGCTCTCGGTTCTCTTGGGCAGCAGGACTGCCTGAATCCCGGGCAGAACTCCTCCCCGAGTGATGGCCACTCCTCCCAGCAGCCTGTCGAGCCCCTCGTCGCCGCGGCCTTAACTGCAGGTGCCGGGGGATGATCAGTCCTCCCGCTGTCACAAGCCGCGTTTCCTGTCACCTCCAAGATCTCGGCGGTCAGGCACTCGAGCACTGCCTCCAGGTAGACAGTAATGCATCCACGGCACCTCCTTTTCAACTCATTTGGGATTTGGGGCTGTAGCTGAGGTCTTATTTGAGCTTTTGAGATGTTAATCAGCTGCTCCCAGTTGTAGAAAACCACCTTGTTGTCATGGTTACGCATCATAACAAATGTCCAAAAGTAAAAAAGGTTTCAGTAAAAACCCTTCCAGCTGCACAGCTTCTGACACCAGAGGAAGTAATCATTCGAAAAAAATTATTTACATCCAGAAAAAAAATAAAGTTTTCAAAATCAAAATCTCAGAATGAATGTGAGAGAGCTACTCCAACATGCAGCCACCTTGAGCAGCGCAGTTCTGGAACAGGATCACTGGTGTTTGAGGAAAAGTTGGTCTGGGCAGTATTTTCACTCTAACTTCAGTGCACAAGCCAGAGGTGCTGCTATTCTAATTAATCAAAATATCCCTTTTGTTGCCTCTACGATCCTCTCAGATAAAAATGGACGAGTTATTATCGTATCAGGAAAACTTGGTAACAAGCTTGAGACACTTGCTTATGCACCCGATTTAGATGATGTTCAATTTTTTTTCAGCATTTTTTCTCCCAACTTCCAGATCTGAATGTTCAGTGCTTACACACTGTAACAGAGTTGTTAAAGCTAAAACAAATGAGGTGAAAAGCCCAGTCTCACATGAGGAAGTGAAACTAAGCAAAAACACTTCAGCTGACTGCTAACAGTCTGTATGCAAGAAGCACGCAGAAGAAAACACTGACGGTGATTTGCATCCATATTTTGTCTAGATAACCTCTAACAGAACACGGTTGCATCTGAAGAAGAAGCGAGACGACTGCTGGAACAGTCGTTTCCAGTCAGAAGTGTTCAGAAAGTAAAGCAACGCAGCAGCACGTTCTCTGTGCAGCAGTATCGAAGGAGTGGCTCAGCACGTTGGGCTCGGGAAACCAACATTACGTAAATGCCGCGGCGCCTGAGCCGCGTCGCTCCTGTTGGGTGACTACGACGAGCTGCAGCGGGTGTGGCGCGAGAGAAAATGAAAACAAAAAGACAAATTCCTGATGGGAACAATACCAGTGATGCACCGTTTCATTCAATGAACCAGGTTTCCTTTAATCTAGGCATTGCAGATGCGTCAACTCATTTTAGAGAAATATATCAAATTCAGCAAAGCATGCATATTTTTATACAGGGTTATGAGCAAAACCCAGCTCATGCTTAAACCTGATTTTCAACTCTTACCAGCTCCAGAGGGCCGAAAAGGAAATGAACGAGCTCAGAGGCACTTGGATTCTGGATGTGTCTCTTGAGTTTGGCCTGCAGGGGGCAGAGGGACAGAGACACGAGGATGAGGTGATGAAGAGCGAGCAGAGCAGGTTACAGCTGTGATATCTCACCAAGAGGTTGAGGGCCAGCTTCAGTTTCTGCAGGCTGTCAAGGAACTCTGCTTCAGTGGGGGGCTTGGCTCGCAGGGTCAGCATGCCCTCTGCAAACAGGCCAGAGAAACAATGACCACACACAGACTCCACAGTTACCACCTGAGCTGCAGGTGTGCTGCAGACTGGTTTCACTTTCTGACCACGGCTCAAAGTTACACAAGCTTTTTCTCTTTTCCATTTCTACAAAAAGCACGTGACCATTGTGATTGGTTGGCTGGTTATTAAGCAGCTTCAGAAAATTAAAAGCTTTGCCGGAGTAAGAAAGACTGCTGCTGCAGAGTGAGACTAAATATATGAAGGTTGTGATGTAAATATGGGGGGAAGGATTTTTGCTTCAACAATTTTAACTTCCGGAATATTCCATGTTCTTGTTGAATTCTAAAAAAAGCTTCTGTTTCCCTCAGAAATACAGAATCAGCCACAAAATTACGACCACCTGCCTAACATCTCCTGATTTACCTGAGAACAGCTCCAAGCTGTCAGTGCACGGACAGAAAACACCTGAAGTTTGTCTGGATGTTTATAATCAATCGTTAGAGCTCTGCAGCTTGGCAGTGTGGGAGAGGAGTCTTTGTGAAGTGGCCTTGCAGAAAGAAGGTAAAAGATTTCATCAGACTGGTGTCTACGAGGGTAGAGGTCTGCAACCGTAGGCTCTGGGGCCACATGTGGCTCTTCACACCCTCTGCAGTGGCTCATTCAAGCTGTGACCAAAACTAACATAAAACTGGATTCTCATGGTTTTCAAAACCAAAAAAGGGCACAGTTGTGGTGAGTTTTGCAGCTCTGGACACGTTTTATTAATGAGGGAAGGAGCAGAAATGACTTTTGATCGTAAAGGTTGCAGACCCCTGTGAAGGGGTGAACACCTCAGATCGTTCCTCACGTTCTTGGTGACATTTGAGAGACCCACTGGTGTCCTTTTGGGAGGGGGCGTGCGCAGCTGACACACGAGGAGGTTGATAGTTCTTGTTCTTACAAATGTTTCAGCTGGTGTCAAATATCAAAATAAGATTTACATGAACGCCAGGATGGAGTTTTATTTTTCCAAGCAGAAAATAAGATAGTAACAAAATAAGAAACGTTCCTAAATGCACCAAATTCCTAGAGGTAAAGTAACACTATAGTTGTCTCTAACCACACACACACACACACACACACACACCCCACACACACACACACACACACACACACACACACACAAAGTATGTTCTTTGAACATCTCATGTTACATGTAGAGTATGACCTGTTCTGCCGATGTCAGAAGACGTGCTTCATCCAAGATGTAAATACTCTGAAGTTTTGACTACAAGATGCACTTTAATTACGTTTTAAACCACTCTGAGTGTTGGAGAAAGAACAAAGCATGACATGCAGCACATCAACACTAGGATGAGGGAACAATCACTACTGTCGTAGTTGATCGTTCCCTAAAATGGCCACCGCACAAACATGTTTGGGGGGTTAGGGTCCCGGGCCCACAAAGTAGAACCAAACATGACGATGTGAGCAATATGTCCATATTGTCACGGCAATCTTGCCACCACAGAAGAAGAAAGGGAGACAGACCTGCTGGTCCTCTCTTCTTATTCTTCTTACTCTTGTTGCGTTGGTTGAGCTGGGAAAAGGCCTCCGCTGCCTTTTGCAGCCGCGCCACAAAGATCTCGATGTCATCCAGGGCGCAGTTGAGAATTTGCTGAGGAGGACAAAAACACGAGCCTCAGACGTTGTGATCTCATGAAATGAAGCGTGTAACTCCGTGACAAGTGGCGCTCACCACATCCTTCTCGATGCGCTGAGCCAGCTTTTCGTGGGACTCGGAATCAGACGCTCGCCTCTCTGTTCCCAGCCACACAGTACACAATGTGAATAAACAACAAATGTTACCCGCACAAGTAAAATACTACAAACATTAGACGTTTTTAATCAAGCAGCCTGTCTGTATTCTTACCTGGGGTGTTTGCAGCAGCTTCCACTCGTCGATTTCTCACAGGTGGGGGGCCCCTGGGGGCCGAGGGAGGGAGGATGGTCTCTCTGTGACGCTTCATTTTCTCCTGGTTCACCCTGAAGGAGAATACGACGCAACAACATCAGGTTAGCGTATTTGTGTGTGTGTGTTTGTGGCGATGGGTGTGAACGTGTTTGTGTGTCAGCAGCATTTTCCTCACTTCAGAGTCTGAAGTCTCATTTTCTTTCCGTGCTTGTTGTCTCCAATGGCACTGTCTACGTCCGCATGAACCATCTCAGCCTTAATGAAGAGGAAGGACACACACAAAGACACATTAGGTACCGTAATTTCTGGTCTATAAGCTGCTACTTTTATCACAGGCTTTGAACTCCGCGGCTTATACAAAGCTGTTATGTTACATTTTGTTGTTTATTTGTCATGTGCAGGTTAACACAAGGTCAATAATGCAATGAAATGTTCAGGATGAGAAGAACTGACTTGACTTAGGGCTGGGGGATATATCGAATATACTCGATGTATCGCAAGATTTTCTATTTATGACGGTTAAAATGGCTCTATCGCAACCATTGAGTGTTATTAGACTTGAAAATCCGTGTAGTTCTTCTTCTCCCGTCTGCGCCTCCAACTGCACTCAGCGCCTCCTTCTCCCTCTTTGAATACAAACACAGCACCTCACCTGTCAGATGAGCAGCAGAAAAATGTTTTCTGTAGACGATTCCGAAAACAAGTCCCAACAAAGATCAGAACTACGCATCTTCCTCACCATTTAAAACCACGCTATAAGTTTTAAACTGCAGCTCCGACTGTGTTTTCAGACTCTTTTCCTGAAACAAACCACGGGTCAAAGCCCATTTATTAGCCGTGCTGTGCTTTATGAGAGGAGCAGTGTGAGGTTAGCCGTCTTGTTAGCCGACCGTGTCTTTAGCGATGCTTCACGTGTTGTTTCACACACGCTTACTAACGTTGAGAAGCGGCGCACCTGAAGAGGATTATTATTTAATATATGTACGGTGAATAGTTTATTTTTTAGACATTTAGTAGAGTTACAGCGGTTTGTTAATAAATGTGCCTGTGTGATAATTCGGACAAAGCTTTGACTCAGAAATATATTTTTATTACTTTATGGAAAGAAAAAATATATTAATTCATTCAATCGTTATTTATACAAGTTAGTCTCATTGAGCCTCGGGACTCATTTACAAGAGAGACCTGGTTTAAACAAATGATGACAACAATCATAAAGCAAAGCATATGAATTGGAAAAATAAATGGAAGAAAATTATATTAAAAATCAAAACAAAAACAGCTACATTATAAAGCGATGTAAAATACTAAAAACAGGAACGTCTGCATTGATTTAGCAGATGTTTGAATATCGAGATATATGTCGCGATTTATCTTTAAAATATCGAGATATTAATTGTGGTCCATATCATGCAGCCCTAACTTGACTCGCTAAAAACAAACAAAAAAAATAACAAAACAAGAAATACTAAAGCATGCAATAAAAGTACAAAATAAAGTACCTAAAGATGAAAAAGAAATATAACATTTACAAGGTCCAAAAGAAATATAATAAACAACAACATGGTAGAATATTCAACATGTGGCTAATTTATAGATTTTTATTTTTTTTAACGGGCTAACGAGCTTCCTGCCGCCAAAAACATTTAGCTTCGTCACACCCGGGCGCTCACTTAGCTGTCCAATACACGTCTCTCTTGGGGGTGGGTCCTCGTGACTCAATGAGACTACATGTACAAATAAAGGTTAAAAAACCTGACCAATGATTCCCCCCTCCCCTGCACGCGCACAGCAACTTTTACTCCGCGGAGCACAAGCTTGCAGCAGGAGGAAAATGAAGATAGCATCCAATGACTTCCTGGTAGGCTCCTGTATTTGTATTTTTATTTTTGACAACGAAAGAGGCTGAGGTTGTGTGTGTGATGAAGTTTTTCTGAGACTGTTCAATTCTGACACTGAAGAAGACGACTTTAGTTGTTTTAGTGCACAGGAGGAAGATGAACATAGCGATCAGTGACTTTTCCTTGTACGTTACTAAACTTTTTTTTTTTAACCGGCTGTGTTAAAGGCAATGCTCAGAAAAAAATAAAATAAAATTTAACGTATTTGTGTATGTTACCAGTACGGATTTAATTTAAAGTTTAAAAAAATCTTGTGTAAATAGCTCATGTTACAACGTGAACACCTGCGGCTTATACACAAGCGTGGCCTATGTACAAAATAGTTTACATATCTTTTAATTTAGTGTGCACGGCTTATATTCGGGTGCACTCTATAGTCCGGAAATTACGGTATTTTAAATTGTACTACACTGTATCTTCTTTTTCTGTGTCCTTCCACCTGTTTCAAACTTGTAACCTAAAGTGAACTGAGTGAGAAATGTTCACAACTCTGTTCAGCTCCTGCGTTTTGTATTTTTTTCTACTTTCTCATCTGCTTAAGTATGGATTAATAGTGCCATAGGCTCAAACACTTAAGGACATGTTGGCAATAAAAGGTGCACTAAAGGTGTGGAAAATCCTCTCGTCAGACTCACCTCCACCTCGTCGCAGTGGAAGAAATGAATGTCGGGCCTGTGTTGTTCCTTGTCCTGACACACAAGCAGCAGCACAGACAGGTAGCGGGTCTGATTCAGCACCGTCTGACAAAGGTGGATTGTGGAAAGAGGGAAGTTCTCCAGTTCTTCCTGCAGGAAGATAAAAGACAAAAACAAGTGAAACGGGTGAAGCGTGACCTTCAGCGTGCTACAATAACTGCAGGAACGAAAATCGGTTCAGTCCGTCTGGTTGGAGGAACTCTGCTCTGTTCCTACGCACAGAGCAGCTTTAAGAACAATCTGCTGGTGGGCTTTCTCACAAGGACACATCACAGTTGGCAGTTTCAAAACATTAACTTGATTTTTTTTTTTTTACCATTCCTTAGAAGCATCTCTTGTGCTCCTAGGGCATGGGTGTCCAAATCTGGTCCTTGGGCACCACTATTCTACATATTTTAGAGGTT